TTTTTTTTTTTTTTCAAGAATCTTCTTCTTTTCAATTTTTCTTTTAGGTCATCTACAATAAATATACACTACTATTAATACTCATGTACAACATGAGTGTTGAGTTAATGAATATATGTGTAAAGTTATTTATGTCTAATACTAAACCTAACTGCAGAGGAAAAATAATATAAAAACAACACCACGAAGCATAGATTTTCGCCATGTCAGCATCCGAAGCGTGAGAATATGTCATCTAGGCTAACACGTTTTGAATTAATATATAGGGAGGGATATATGTGCAATATCTAGTCAGCTGCTTGTAATCTTCTCCAATTAATTTTCCATTAATTTCTGTACAAAAATTATAATAAATGAATAAAAGATGATCCTCCATTATTGAACTTTTTTTTCTCTCATACCTACCAACCTTATTAATATTTATCTTAATTATCTGCTGCTGCTGGTTTATTTATTTATTTAAGGACACATAGACCGATCCACAAAGACAAAGGGCAAAGTCACATACTACTACATAATAATAGTCACTTTTTATTCTCTCTCTCAAAAATCATCATACATAATCATTAATCAAATATGGACCTTATTATTGATGATGAGATTCAGATGCCCAAACTGCAGGAAACTGGCAGCAAGATTATGTTTTTCTATTTTTCACAATTGGTCCTCAGAATCCTGGTAATTGCATTTACGCTGGGTGCTGCGATTATCATGGCCACAAGCCAGCAAACGGTGACCTTCTTCGGGATTGCAATGGACGCCCGCTACAGTTACTCCTCTTCTTTCAGGTCATCAAATTAATTTTCATTTTATATTATATTTTGTTTTGTTTTAAATTAACAAATAAAAAAAAAAGAGATATTAATTATTTATATATGATTTTATTATTGGCCGCCGCGCATGCAGGTTCAATCTGGTTGCAAATTGTGTAGCATGCGGGCTCACTGTTTTGTCGGTGATTCTTGTTATTTCACTCAATCCTTCAAAATCAAATCCCAACAAGTACTTCTATTTGCTCTTGCATGACATGGTAATTATATCATATTTTAGTAAATCCTATATATTAATTAATCAATTATATACGGATTCTTGTCTAATTAGACTGTACGTCGTCTAATCATTAATTAGACGAATCGATCAGCCATATCTTCTTAACAAAAACGTAACATATTATTGTTTTTGTTAGAAGAAATCAATTCCATGGAAATATTACTTTGCCATCAATATAACATGTAGTATTAATTAACAATATTGGGTCATTATTTGAAGTAATTTCATTTTTGTTCATTATATATATGACTTCATTTAATGTTGAAATTTACATTATGTTTCTATATTAATTAATTTGTTACGTAAAAAAAGATTCTAATAATTAATATGTATATGTGTGTGGTAAATGATATTTATTAATTAATGCAGTTGAGTTTGGTTCTGTTATTGTCCGGAACCTCGGCTGCAATGGCGATTGGGTATGTGGGGCGATATGGGCAAAGCAAAACGGGTTGGATGCCGGTTTGTGATCGTGTGGCCAAATTTTGCGACAAGATTATAGCGTCAATTGTATCATCTTTTGTGGCTCTCATTTGCTTGGTTTTGCTCACAATCATGTCTGCTCATAAGCTCAAATCTCATGCATATTCCCATGGCATTTGAAAAAGTTAATGTGATGATGAATATTT